GTGATCATTGATTGTTTCGTATTTATCATATAATTCTTTAGCACGAATCACTTGTTCTCTGAACGAAGCTTCACTGTTTAAGTGTTAAGGAAATCGAAGTTAATTTCCAAACAATTTATCTCAGGTTAATGTTACTGAGAGCCGACAGAGGCTGGCAAAATTTATTCTTTCTAAACATCACGATAGTCGTTATGGCCTGTCGTGAACCGTAAATGGCCGGCTCTCTCTTAATATTGGTATTCACCAAAAAACACCGTATTCTGCTATCGACATGCTTTCCTCATGAAGACCCAAAAATTACCCTAACGACCAGGCCCATATAAGTCTATCGTGCTGTTGTGCACAACTATGAAATTGACAGAATAAAATTTCCCTTGACTCAAATTTCCCAAACTATCCAACCCGTCCTCCCTGATGAACAAAGTTTTTTTCTCTCGTATTGCGTCATTTCATCTACTTCTCTCATTGCATTGAATACAACACATTGTGCCGTACAAGTGTTCCCATTGAATCGAATAAAAAGTTCGGGCTGTAACAACATTTTTCCTAGTTGTTGAAGGTTTTCCCATTCAGGCAGCTGCCTCTGATCAGACTTTGCATTGGGTACTCGCTTACTCTTCTGTGCAACTATCGTCCATTCAGTGGCAATGGCACCATCATCTGAAACGCGTTGTTTGCCGCTAGTCGGCCACTTCTCTGCAATGCTCTGATCTCTTTCCTACAATAGCATTTGACACGGTGTGGAACGACTTATTCCAAATACAGATCCTAAAATCTTCATTTTTTTGCCTTCCAGTTTTCTATTTGCGGCTTTTCATCCACTTTCTCTAAGCCCTAGTGCAAAATGTTCACTGTGCAAACCCTGTACATCTGCAGCTTTTTCCTATTGCCAGCATCCTTATCTTTCCTGAATTTGAATAATTTGTTGCTCACCCCTAATGCCAATACCGTTTTTGAGCCTTGTTTTTCAATGATCCATCTATAGCCAATGTTCTCCCAAGATACAGATGTTCTCGTTATTTTTCGACAACTTCGGCGTCAAGGATCTGACAGTATTTGGTCTGCATATTGCACGCATGAAAGTAAGCATAAAGGCATGTTTAAAACCATCAGACTTTTTCGTTTATAAGACCAAGGGCTGGAACATAACATTTTGTAAACATTGATGAGTGCATTCATGCATGTGTTATGTCTGTTTACATCTATCCCTTCTAGCATTTCTTCGCTCTCCGCTGGCGAATACAAGAGTACACTTCCATGACCAGAAAAACTAGAAACATAATAAATAAAAAATTATTATCATTATTTGTTTCCTTTCTGAAGTAAAGTTTCTTCCATTGCGTTGTGCTTCTATGAGTACGAGGTCGCTGTGATTTTTTTCCTCTACGTTGCACAAGATTCATATTCTATGCATTTTTAAAACTTAGTAGGTGTTCTGAA